AGAGAAGGATTCGGCGATTGCGTTCGAGGTAAGCATCGGGAACCACGGAAATAAACTGGACGACTCCGTAGCTCCATGCGCTTCCACCACACCACCTACAAATCCGGTTTACGACGGTGAGGCGTACAACTACTTGCCTTGGGGGGATGACAAACCGTGCACAGTTGTCGATTCGCAGTGGGAAGATATATCTTACCGGCTGTGCGCGATCAATATGCTATTAAAAATCGCTGATAGATTGGTAAGTTGTGATGCCTGTCTCCGCTTATTGCTTTTCCCTCAGTCCGATATCCGTTTGGATTTTCTATATACATCTCACAGCTCCCTACTGGAGCTTTTCTGACTTTGGAGCCATGTGAAGAAGCTCGTGAGAAAATCATAAATTGTTAATGGATTATATTCAAAATGTGTGGGGAAAAGGATAAGCGCATCAAGTTGATCTTATCTGATACGGTTGTCATAAACACCTGCGAGCAACAAGTGACACATTAGACAACTTGGCTTTCGCATCATGTTGACTTACGGGTCACGTGCGTAATATTGCGATGCTACCGCATTGACTTTGAGATAGCCTGTCGACAGTAAAAAAGCTTCTCATCTAGGCCTGAAAATCAACGAACTCAGTGCAGTAGGTTGAGTCATAATGGGTCAGAACAAAATCAGTTTTCTAGCCATCAGTTGCAAAGATGTGTTCGCCAATGTACCAGCTCATTGTAGGCTGTGAAAACGCGTATAATTTCTTTTTGTAGCACTTCCCATATATCTCTGTCACAGAGCTTGAAATTCACCCAATGTTTTATCCATGCGTTTCAAAATTCTTTCTGGTAGCTGTAGTCGAATAGCCAAACAGGACAAGCTGAAAAGCAAACGAATAATACACTAAGTCGACTTAGAAATCAAGACTACTTATCACCCCGTCTGTTTGAAGGTTTCAAACCTGCTGATTCTAACGCACCTTACTTACACGGTCTACCTGAAATGCACAAACCTGGCATGGTAATGAGTCCCATCATCTCTACGGCAAAGTGACCTGAGCACGCAGTTCCTCGAAAGCTAGCTAGACTTTGGACCCCATTCATCCCCGATTTGCCAAGCATTCAGTTAGAGACACTTCAGTTTGCCGAAACAACAAAAAGTGGGCATTATCAAGCAACTGATGTTGTGACAGTTATGACAATTAGTTATTTATCATTTTTACTTCCTTTTATTTAGCATATGTATATACATTTTTTACCAAGGGTGAAGCAGCAAATCAAATGATCACCATACAACACAAAATGGGGAAAGTCGGGCGGTGACTGTGGGATTCAATGACACGTCCCCGGGGTGTTAATTTGGTGATTTTACTACCGGGCCATCATCCCCAAAGACATGAGGAATCTCTGATAATTTGACGCAATTAACAAATCGTTCACAACACATAACTGGAATCGAACGTACCTCCATAACCACGTGTATTTCTTTTTCCAGTCAGACCCTTCTTATGTCACCTTTCGAGAACTATCTTTGGAGTAAATTTTGTGGATTGTATGATTCATCCGAACGCGAGAGATTACCAAAATGAGGTCAGCGAACATACTCCTTAAATCAAGCGTTCTGACATGGCTCGAATTCTTGCATAAAATATTCTTCGTTTATTTCTAATGCCATCACTTGAGTGTGAGTCCTGAGCCCCAAAAAGTGTGATGACAATGCAGTGTTTAGGATAGCACTAGACAATGCTGCTGTGCACGAAACTTTCTTAAGTTAAAATGATTTCCTAAATTGTTTTCATCGATCATGAATTCCCCCGTTTTCTCCACAGAGTAGAAACATTGAGAAAATCAATGTGGCCGTTGTCGCGGCTCTCATCCCCGAGGAACAGGCACAGTTGGCGATTGCTTCACTGGATGAATTTATTTTGGATTGCACGTAAGTCGATCGATCGCGATCGCTGGTTATGTATCTCTGTGATGTGCCTGTGTTCAGAACAGCTGCTTTTGTGGTGTGATCCTATTCGGTAGAACGCACTGATATTTCGTGCTATGTACGTGACCAATCCTGCTCCCCGGCCCGTTCAAATCAATTGGCTCGCGCTGGACAGTTTTACGTCCGACGATCTATTCACAACAGTGGTCAATCAATCTAATCCTCTAGCCTTTACTGAAAACACATTCAGTGAATCTTCTTTCAATGGTTCAGTGATTTGTAGGCCTGAACCCTGAGTTCAATTATAATAGGTGACTCACTATACCTTTTCAGCTTTAAGTAAATCCCTTGTAACTTCAGGTGAATCTAACCAAGCGCATTCCAGGGAACCCCAGAGGATGATTGGTGTTCCGGCCGTCAAACGTCACCGATTGGACCAGGTCTGTCTAAATCCCATCCAGTTCAAATGAACTAACTTCTCCGGAAACAAAAATAGTACTTTTTGAGTGAGTTAATCAGCGAAGATGAAACATTCGGTGGGGTGGCGTGGGCAAGTCTTTCCCCCGCCCGCCCCACGCGGGAACGTTATTTCCGTGATCGCTAATCCTGTCATAGACATGAATGAACTAATCCGGCGTTAATTGACCTCTGTCTGTCGGGTAAGGAAGCGAATCACGTCAAGACGGATCGATAAATCGGTCACCATGCCCAGACGTGAATGTGGGTGTGAATAATGGCATGAGTGGATTCAGTCTAGGCTCTCAATGACCCAGGAGTAAATTCCACTGAGGCCGATTTTCTCTCGAATAAAACCGATTCCTCTGAACCAAGTGCAATCGGTTACATATGTTTGGCATTAAAATGCACACTTGTCAAGATACTTAACAATATCATAAGGACACAATGAAAGGCTTACTAGTATTTCATCTGAATTGTAAGATCAAATTAAAACCTATCTACTAGCTAACAGAAATCACATTTTTCTCTGCCATTCCCTGTCTGATTGATACATTCAATCCATAATATCAGTGACAACAATCTGCTACCTGCAGCTTCTCCCTTCGCTACTCAGCTTCATCGCATAGGTTCTTATCCTTTTTGTATCACTGATCAACCCATCGCATCTTTTCACAGCTTGATTACATCTGTGCGATGTTTTCAGTTTAGTGAATGAGACAGGTGGTCATATGAATGGGTTACAGATATTCATGATCCCACAAACGACGATAATTCTGTACTGGATGCTCCATCGGATATTAAGTAGAGATAGGTAAAGTATGCTATCCACGGTTTTCCTAATATTGATCGGCGACTTTCTTATTTGTGAGGAACAGTTGCCTCCAATGACGAATTCATGAATAATCCGGGAAATGTGTTACAAAGTGGCATCCGCGGTGTTACTGAGTGTCAGATAGGAGAAGACGTTCATTGGCACCGCGGATGCCAGTTTGTCACGGTGTTCCCGGATTGGTGGTACCAAGAAATATTGTGTAAACGAGCTATCCACCACAAAGGTGGACTCTCTGAACTAAGCTGAACCGGACGATTGAATACACAAGCTTTTTTACATTATTGCTCAAATCCTCTGTCGCCAGTGGCATATTCCTTAACATATCTATTCCACTTTGAACCCATCCGGTTTGTAGAAAACTGTTAGGCTTTTGTGCCTTTGAATGCCCAAAATTAGGTGATTACTTTCGTTCCCCCAAAGTGATAAAGTTCAAGGGAAATCTAACCTCAATAGAATTCTAAGCACTATCTAGCCGAGGGTATGGTTTAATCTCATCAAGACCGAAAGAAGACATATGTCGAGAGTTGTTGACAGTTCATGCAGCAGTTCATGACCACATTCATACTTTTACCTAATTTTTGACATTCGAAGGCACAAAAACCTAACAAGGACTGTTGAAACTGAATTAAGAAGCTGCAGTGACTAAAGCTATTCTCTTAGTTACCGATTAACTGTGCTCCTGGCGAATTGATTCCGAATGACTAAACTGACATGGAAAATTTTATGTGATAAATTTCGGCAGTATTTAAACTAAGATGGGTCTAGGAACAATCAACGGTAGCCATTACCTTTACTAGGATCATGTTACTGAATGTTTCTGAATGAGGTATATACACAGAAGGCAAGTTTATCTTTCATTGCAGTAGGCTAAGCGCTTATCTTCGAAGTGCTCGTCACATGCATGGTGTGAAATTCATGCTCCAGTGAAAGAAAAACAGCCACGTGATTATTTTATCGTGGCGCGATTCGCACGTTTTCTTAATATTCATATCATTATCATTAGTCGTATTAGAAATAATTAAACAACTCTCTGAGTTGGTGAGAACGTATATGGATCTTCTTCTCGAGCATGGCAATCAGGAACCTAATATCTGGGACTAAGAGGGAGAACATTCGTATAAATCCTTATGAATACCTTAATAGTGATTGTTAAAAGATAGGTCCCGTAAAAATAGAAAGCAAGGATTTTAATTGACAATCCTTCAGATTCACTCCTCATGCACGATCTTCAGGTCGTTCAGTGAACCATTCCTACGAGAAATACTAATGATGAGCTATAATGCGAGCGACACTGGAGTTATAGTTTTTCTAATTGCATGGTCTACTAAGTGAAGTGAGTATTGCCTGAATAATGGTAGGTCCAGATCAATACTGCGCACATTCACATGACTATCTACAAGTAACTGAGTGAAATAGAAATAGAATGCTGTAATGGTGGTGATACTCCACACTCTTAGCAATATTCGCTTTTCCGGGAAGATCAGTTGGTTCAGTTGGATTAAGTATCCACTCCAACATGATAATCAATACCCGGAAACCGAAAACTGTTTAAAATTATCGGTTAAAGCGATTAATGTTTAGGTCTTAATCAAAACAGGAATGAGATTGGTTCCTCGTTGAACTGTTTACAAAACCACTTCAGACCTCGGTAACCGCGTACAAAACAAATCGTCTAGGCATTCCGATGAGCAAGTAAGTTTACATAACCTCCGTTGCACATTAAAGACTGAAGGTTTGCGTCGGTACACAAAAGATCACTAACGCGTCCTAAAACGCGCAAAATTCTATCAAACTTGGGCGGTTCTACCAAGGTGAGAAAATCATTTTCGAATAGATCTAACCATTTGGCACACCAGTGACGACTAGTGAAAGTGTTGAATAAATCGCGGCATTAGAATTCAAAACGTAAAGTTACTCATTCCGTTGGTAAATAAGCAACTATCCATCCATGTGATGTCTACGATTACAGTAAAAACACACAAGCCTCCTGCGAGAAGGATTTGGATTTTCACTCCCTGGTGGACCGCTGAATATTAACTAAATAGATGATTTAACCAAAATGAAACTCGAGATCAGTTCTGCTCGATAACGAGGTTGATTGGACGAACTGAGGGTTGTCGATGTTGGGCTAAGATTGAATGATGATTAGCGAAAATCAACCATTATTCCAAATCCTGCTTACACCTCACTGGATTTGTTTTGAGCTTCCGCTTTCCCTTGTTCATTTGCAAGGGAAATGGTTGGTGAGTAAATCGAAACTCTGAGTTTAGACCTGAGTTCATAACCTGTTTCAGTTTCAGTTTTACAAACATTAACCATGCACTTTCGTGCGCGGGTTTTGGTTGCTGTCTTTTGGATAAAAGAGAGAAATGAAGATTGGAATGTGGAAGCAAATTCAAGCGGAAGATGGGTAATACATATAGAGTGAGATGGGGAATACATAACCTGTGAAGTTCATTAAATGCACGTAAGAATCTAATTGAATTGACTGTTGCATATTGGGACATTCGATTTGCCCGTATTCAACTTGGGTCACGATAGAAATGCCACCGCGTTATATATATATATATATATGTCAGTTCATCTTAAGCGATTTAAGTTTCTACCTGCATTGGTCCTAACCCAGTAAACCACTGGGGTTAAGTTCTCCATGATGTATGGTCCTTCGACCAGTTATTAGCCGATCACGATATTTTTGTTCACTGAATACTTAGAAGAGGTCCCTGCGGTGAGGAGTTCTCCGGAATGTTTTGATCAAGCTTGCTCGATGACTTTCATGGATCGAAAATCGAGCTCACGTCCTACTTGATCTTCCTGGAAGGAGACAGGTTAGAGTAGACCATACCTCTTGAAGTACGAAAACATTATTTTAGTCAAGCACTTTTCATCCCTCGTGGCATCAGCACGAATTCCAAATTTTAATCACGATTCAACTATGAAAAATGAAAAAGAAATTCCCCGTTCATATTCCACTCATGCATCTGACCCCATCTGGCAACATTGCTTAATGTTAGTTAATCGGGAAAAACTTAATCAGTATGTACCTCATCGGAAATGAGCAGTGCATGAGATCAACCTTTATGGAATTCATGGTAAACAGCAGAGTTTCTATTCACGTAAACCATGTTTCAGAACTTTTTTGTGCATAACATGTGGTTTCCTACTTACGAACACTCGTTTTGAAGTCGAACGATTATTTTTAATATTCAGGGACTATCCTGTACAGTTCGTTTTGAGAATTGGTTTGCTCTTGAGTAGTCTGGACAGAAAGTGCTTATAGGAGGCGCGCGGATTGTTATTAAACTTAAAATCGCTACACTTATGAAAACACCGGGCGAATCTGAATCATCCGCTCGTATTTGCATGCTTTGTGCATGCTAGTAAATCAGTTCTTCACCTTTGTACCTGAGTTTCCTATCTTAGAATGAGTCTAATTTTCAATATTTATTTCTGTCCTAACGAATTAATCAGTTATTATGAAAAGGAAGCGGCCGGATTACCCGGAGAATGTGTTGCTGTATAGCAGTGGCGGCTGTTCGACGATCCGGATTCGACCTTCGGAGCAATGTGGTAATGGCTCGACTATCATTGCCTTGTGACCTCTATTTTCTCGTGTAGATCCTTTTCTCATTCACTGGATTATAGAATGAATAGATTGAACGATAGCAAACAGCAAAGAGATTTGAGATTTATGCCTGGAAACTTACAGAAGGGGAGGGAAGATGAAAGACGATTGTGAAATTGGAACACATGATATCCTGACAGTTTCTGGAGTGAGCCCAACCATCTGGCCACATACCCTTTTAGTTTGCCCTATGGTTTCATTTCTGCAGAATGTACTTTCAGAACAGAAGTAAGTAACCAAGGAAAACCTATCGGAACTAACATGCTGGTCTTAAACCTGACATTTGTAGAACAGTGAAATAGCGTTTTGTAAGTTATATCTCAAAGGAACGGGAATGAATTTTCGGACTGACTTTGTTTTGCCCCTGGTGTTCCATTTCAACAATCTGTTTTAACTGTAAGTATATAAAGAAGCAGTTGCCCAGTTGCCAAATGTCTGTGGCAATACAATGATTCTCCGGTTCAGTCTAAAGTTGTCATACTCACACCTAACCTTACAACAGACGTCCACTGCCCAAATGGGAACCGGAGAATAGCCCAGAGACCGAACTGGACAAACAGCTGCGTCGCGTACGCGAGCGGGAATTGAAGAATTTGTACGATCAGGCTATGAAGGCTCGTGAAACAGTGGTCTCAGTAGAAGAAGCGCTGACCCAGTTGAAAGCCTATCGGGATGTGATTTTGAATTTAGCGGTTGAAGTGAGTTTCATGCTTTCGCTTTCAACTAGATCTTCTATGATCACTCTGAGATAAACGACTGGATCAATAGGGATTTTAGTCTTATTTCGCTTACTCATTTTCAGTCAGCATCATCTCAAATCAAGTAATTGTTTTTTTTTTTAATATGTGATCGTGCACTTTTTGAACATTATTATTGTCCCATATTCTATATAAGCGTGATGGATGATTTGGTTTGATCAACTCGAGAAATTCATCGCGTAAAGAGCCAATGAAACAGTAACCGAAAAGCTAGGAAGCACTTCACAGATTTTTTGACCTGGTTAGACCTCATCAGCAGTGCTAGTCCATCGCCCCTACTGGGAATAGAACCCGGGGACAAGCAAGCATACTACGCACTCGGCCACTTCATTTTCGTAGTACAGGATGTAGCACAACCCTCTTTGCGAGCTGGATGCAGGCGTCGCACCTTGCATTCGGTTCGCACTCAAAATAGCTGTACAGTTCTTCTTAGCCTTTCTTTTTCTTTTCATTTTTACTTCCTTTTATTGAATATACGAAGATACAAATTTCAGGAAGGGGAAAGCGGCCAATCAAAGGGCAACCATTCAACACATAATGAGGGAAATTAGGCAGTGGTGGTGGGATTCGAACTCACATCCACCGGGTGATAATTTGGTGACGTTACTACCGGGCCACCACCGCCCAAGAAAGGGATTGTCCGAGGACGTCCCCACTGTCCGAGCGATCCCGATTAGGGATCGTCGCGGGCTTCAACCCGCCAGAGTGCAAGGGCGAGCCTCCACCTGAGGCCAAGGCATTCGTGATCACCCTGGTCCCGGCGCCAAGCTTTTCAGTTTACTTTTCATATTTTATTTGTAATTATGAGAAGCAGAACCAGTCCACCCACAAATTAACTTTGGTGAGACAACAATGAGTTCGTTTACCGAATTTATTCCCGGGATGGTGGTATGTAGAAATGTCAATTATTTCACTTCTCAAGACCATTTACCCAGATTTATGGATAAAATTCTGAGGCATCACTAGTTGCCGTAAAATGTCAACATGATTGGAGAAAAATCGACTCACACGCCTCCACCTTTCAAGATTAATGAACCATCTCGAAGGTAACAGCACGCATAGTGACAGCAGCAGTGGAGAACCACTTTTCCGCAGTAAAGTTTTAGCACTATACTCATCTCCAAGGTGCTTTCTCGTTTTAAACCCCGATATGCATCCTCTCTTTTTGTTCTCATTCACTGCTTTCTGTGAAACAATCCATAATGGCCCAGGACGCTTAAATGAACGTGTCTGCGAACATTGGCCAGTTTCATTTCAGTTCGATCGTTTTACAAATCAGTGAATCAAACAGTGTGGTTAATGCGATTGAAGTGTTTGTCAGTTGTCTGTCCAGGAGACTTCGAAGTTTTATCTCATCCATTGGTGGAGTGCTCGATATTTGACCGTATACGCCCGCCTGCCATGCTCTGAAACCACTCGGTCTTCTATGACCGTCAAAGCTTCCTACATTGGTATACTGATATTCAGGGCTGGAGTCAATTAGACTCGCATGAGGACTAGGCAGAGATTATCATAGGGTCATGGAACTGAATTTTGTAAAACAATCACCGGGGAAGACAGACTTTCATATGCAATTAATTCCATTATTTTCAAGCTAAACGTCTTTAGTCTGATATGTGAGAACGTTTATGTACTGTCCCTTGGTCGATGCTCCGTGATACATGTACTTCGCTTTTAAGTTCGCAGACAAAATCGGGCATTATCACTGTATCAAATCAAGTTTGAGTTTAACTTGGCATACTTCTATGATATTGTGCACTCAATCACATCCAACAAAGTTGTACCGATCTCCGCCTTGATGTGTATTGAGGGTATGATCTTGGTCTACAAGCTGTAGGGTCAATGCGCGAGGGGGGGGGGGGGNTGTGAGGTATTACTCACGTTTGTCAGTAGCAGGTACCATAGTTGGTGATTTATTTCGATGGTCAAAAATTAACAAGATCACCGAGGGCAAATTGTTGTATCTGAAAGAATAACTAACAAATGCTACATTCATTACCTGTTGTGGGGCCAGGAACAGCGATGGTACGTTTTTGATGAGATTTTCTGATCTCTCATCTGTGATCTTCAATAAACAACTATCCTCAGCAGCGCCTTCTGGAATCATAACATCAGAGTGAATGAGACTGGATAGGTGTGGCTGATTTGTACAGTTTTCTAATCTATACTCAATACCGTTCCGGTGTTTGTAGGCAAAGCATAAGATGACTACTCTTTCGTAGACACGCCCACCTCCACACCACTCTTACCTGCACTGCACACATGAATCTATACTTTTCAGCCTCAGCGTAGCCTTCCGGATATTGTGATTTGGATGCTTAGCGGGAATAAACGTGTGGCTTACCATCGTATACCGGCCCATGAAATACTATTCCATGCGAACGAGGAGTTCCGCGGTCGCTCGTGTGGAATCATGCAGACCATCAACCTAAAAGTGAGTGCAAATCGAAAACACTACTTTCCGCGTTTACTATTGTGTTTGGAATCGGTCCTGGATTACCCTATCCGTTTGTGTCACGATTGTCAAAGGGCACTGGATAGCCGTTTTTTCCTTCTCATTGTAAGACGCCTTTGTGTGTTCTCCAGATCCAACACCGTATGAAATAGCCTTTCAGTGCTCTGGGTCGATTCATACATAAATGAAGAAACGTTAATTTGGGGACATAGCTAAGTCCATAGGAATGAAACGGACATTCCAAAATTGAAGATTGTTGAACAATCAAGGCTATTAATGACTGCTTCTACAACACAGTAATAAAAAATCGTTCTACTCACAAACAATGGGGCGG